TCCAGCATCTGAGCTATTAACCCTATAGTGTACCTTACATTTCTGTATATATTTGATTATAAATACTATATATCACAAAAACTCATTTGTTATCATGAAAAGTAATGGTACAAATTACATGCTTCTTTTCTGTGAAAAAAACACATGGTTTTCAAAAATCTAATCAACACACACAGATTTCAATATTATTAATGCTATTAAGTTGAATGTTTTAATTATTGAAGTAACATATAACATGTTATATGTCTAAGTTTTACACTATTAATGATATATCTGCTAACTTGATAATAGAAAATATTAAGAAGAAACTATTACGGAAATTCCTTATAATAAAAACTAGAAATCTATGATTATTTGAGTCCCCCTTTACATGAAATCATCAAAAAAATTACTAAATCTTTAACCCAGAAAATTAAAATTAAGCAATATAAATAATGTAAGCAGCTCACATCTCTATGTTCTGATGTATGTGCATGTAAACTGCATTACATCCTTGGACTTTTTACAATTAGGTTGACCATATATTCTATCATCCAAATCAGAACACTTTTGAAAGCAAAAAGACACAGTGTAATAAGTAAAACAATTATCCCCAGCAAACTAGACTTATGGTCACACTACTTAGAATAAGGTTTCATCAGTTCTTCAGTAACTAAAATCCACTGGTTGAAGTTCAGGACAAATTTTAGGGAGCAGTGTGGTGCAGTGGGGAAAAAGACTTGAACTGATAAACAGGATCCTGGATTCTCATCCAATTTTGTTACTTATTAATATCCCTGAGCTTCAGTTCCTTCCTAAATTGAAAGAAAGAAAAAATAATACTTTCTACCTCATAGCGGTGTGGTAAGGATTAAATGAGAAAAAATGAACATAATTTTTCAGTGTAAACTATGAACAACTTATACAAATCCAAGTTATAATACTGAGTTCCACTTTTGAGAAATACTATTCTACTTTTAAAATGGAATAAAATTGTACAAAAGTTCCAAAAATTTCAAATTATATTTCAGAATACGATTTATTAGTCTAAAAATATTTATATATGTAAACTAAAATCTGCTCTCATTTTTTTAAAATGACTACACTTTTTATCTAAATATATTGGTTACTGTGCATAGAAGTTGTGATGTAACTGATATGCTAAATATTTTCAGAAGGACTGTTTGACAATCGAAGCATGCTATCTGTAATTATATTTTTAAATGACTGTAAAGAGATGTTTTCTTTTTTTTTTTTTTTTGCGGTACGCGGGCCTCTCACTGTTGCGGCCTCTCCCGTTGCGGAGTACAGGTTCCGGATGCGCAGGCCCAGCGGCCATGGCTTACGGGCTTAGTTGCTCCGCAGCATGTGGGATCTTCCCGGACCGGGGCACGAACCCGTGTCCCCTGCATTGGCAGGCGGACTCTCAACCATTGTGCCACCAGGGAAGCCCAAGAGATGTTTTCTTAAAATCACTATATTAAAAAATTAGACAGAAGTTCTCTATATATTAGATTTGACAAACATGTGGTTTTCAAAATTGAGTTATTTTTTCCAAAATCACAAAGAAGTAAAAGCTTTTCCATCAACTGATCAAAACTGTGTTCAGTTTTCACAGTTGTTCATATTTCAAACTATACTTTAACACATCACAATGGGCTGCCATTCTAGAAAGTGCCCAGATAAACTTGCCATTAAGTGGCTAACCACCATCATTTGGCTAGGAGCTCACTAACATCCTCTCACAAACACTTTAGTTTTCCTCTATATGGGACTGGAGTTTATTTTCAAACTCTTAACAGGATCACTGAAAGGAAACAGGAGAAATACTTATAAAGGCAGGCCTAAACTCATTCCAGAGGCAAGTACTCTCACAGCAATGCGTTGGAATTATGCCCAGGAGGGAAGTGTTTTTGCAAATGAACATAGTGCCACAGTTAAGCATAAGGTATTTAATTCCTTTGTCAACATCACTAAGGTTAAAAATTAAGAACGTTACACGATAGACAATTTACCTGAATTAGTGCACACATCCTTTTTCGGCTGAACCATAAGGAGGCATCTTGAGTCCTTTAATCACATATTTTTAATGAACTCTCACTGTTAATACCTAATTCTACCTATTCCAATGCAGATTAAAGTAGATGACAGTGAACTAATTTTACTTCATTTTTAATCACCTTGGTGCAGTTTGCAGGCGACAATAATTTTGGTACTCAAATGTGGTTCCAATTCTCGAAACCAAAATAAATGAATGTGAATAATCTTAATAGTACCACATTTAATGAGATGATTTTGTTCATTTGGAAGAAATTGGAGTCGTCATGGTAAATATATCTCTTTACTGCAGTTAAAGACTGCTTTTCTTACTAAATTCTATACTTAGGAAGTGTAGAACTCAAACAGTTCCTGTTTGTTTTTCTTAACAAGTAAATGTAGAAATCAATGGAGTTAAATCCACAAAATGAAAGAAAAGAGACTATAACTTGCTTTAAACTTTTTTAAACCTTAAAAGAACAGGACTTTTAATATTATTTCCTAGTTTCTTTTTAGACAAATGTAATTGTCTAAAGGCCTTGTGGATAAGGCCTTTTATATGCAATTTTATGTGTCCCGTTTTTAATTGTGCAAACATCTAAAATTCCACTTTCACAATCAAAATCTCCATACTGCTGAAACTGGCTGCTTTCACAGCTGAAGTGTAATAGTGTGTTGTTAAAATGTTCTTATAATAGTTACTGTTGAATCCACTGTCATTTTCAAGTACTTGTCAATAAAAACATTTCCAGTCAATAAAAACATTCCTTTTCATTGACTTAATTAGTTCATTAAGAATATTTCTATACTTACCAAGTGGAATAGCATTCTGCCTATTAGTAGTGATAAATCTCCATCAGTTTTTGATTTCCACACATGTGGAACCTGCAGGATGTTCTACTTGTTAAGAAATGCTACTAGTGAAGGAAAGGAGAAGAGGACAGTGGGTAGACAGGTCTGATTCCTACAGGGAGTGTCAAAGGAGGCTGCTAAACTGGTCAATGGGACCAGAACCTATAGCATCTCTATTTGTTTAGCTCAGAGTTCACTTTACAATGTCAGCTATGGCAGGAATGATAATTGAGTGCTGGGTCATAGGCATTTTATATGCTAGCAACCATCCACATGAAGTATTTTAACTCTTCAACCAGGACAGAAAAAATATACTTGCTCAGTTACTCTACCTAAATAATGTGTGCAGTAGAAATATAATGTGAGCCACATATGTAATTCTTAAATTTCTAGTAGCCACATCAAAAAAGAGTAAAAAGAAACAGTTGAAATAATTTTAATATTTTATTTAACCAAATATATCTAATGTATGATTCTTTCAATATCTAAGTAACATAGAAAATTACTAATGATGTTTGTCACATTTTTTTTGTACTAAGCCTTTGAAATTCAGTATGTAATTCATACGTGCAGCACATATCAATTTAGAATCGCCACTTTTTTAGAACCTCAGAGCCACATGTGGCCACCGGCTACCTTATTAGACAACACAGATCTAAATATTTGTTAAATTATTTCTTGAAATGTTCTACTAGAATGAGACTTTTATGGGGAAGTAATGTGATTTACATAACAAACTACTAGGACCAAGGCATTTAAGTTCAGCAATGAAACAGAATAATATTTGCCAGGATTCTCCTTGCTTTCTGATGGAAACCAGGGCAATACTGTTGCAAAAGTCCCGGCTCTGGAATCAGAACACCCTGAGCTTGAATCTAAGCTAGGACAAATACTACTGACTAAAGTAGCTGCAATCAGCAACTTACCCTTGACAGCCCCATTTTTTTTTCTGTAAAATAGAGATGATAATGTTATCTATCTATTAAATGAACTCGTATGTGTAAAGCACTCAGAAGAGTATCTGCATATAGTAAATTAGCAAAAACATTTAGTTATCATTGTTAGCTACAATTCCCTCTAAATTAACTAGGATGTACAAATATTAAAATTATGCAGCTGGCTTAGGGGTACAAAGAATACATGAAAGTTATTTTGGGAAACGTATTATGTTTTCTAAGTTATAAGAGACATAAGTAATATAACCTTATTATATTATATTATAAGTAATATAACCTTATTATATTTTCAGGATATCCACAAACAGAAAAATATCTATTAATTTTGAAGGTCCCTGTGACATACTTTTAAATAGAAAAATACTGGCCAATTATTATGACCACATAAAGCTATGTAAGAGAAAATTCAGTTTTACTATACAAAGGAAAAGGTTCACTAATTCATATGTTATTATTGTTTCAAAACAAACAGAAAACATCCAGCTGATGTATTCCGATAACTAAAACTTACTTTGGCCCACTTCCACAAAAATGTGGTCTACCTATAATATGACTTATCAGAGAAATACTCCTTTAATTATTTAGTCCAGGAAAGAAATATGGCTTTGGCAGAAGCAACCTCAGAAAGTTAGCAAGGGAAATTTGATGATTTTTTAATCAAAATTTTAGTACTTATAAAAAATAATTCTATAAGTTTGTAAATCTATTTGCATGTGTCTTGCCTATTAGTAGAACTCTTGTTAGCAGACCCCTTAACATCCTTTTCCTGTTATCTACAAGGCCAGAGGATATGGGTTTCAAGACAGGAGGAATCACACATCATTAAATCCTGATTAATCTCACCTCACTCTGCCCAATCTCCTCTCTTAAAGCTCGTAGCCCAATGTGCAACTGTTGTCTTCTATGTCAAGCATAGGGCCAATTAAATTTTAGTAACAAATATTATTATCGCCGATATTTATTGCAATATTTACTGAATCCTTAGTGCAGATATCACTATGGGGAATCATTGATAAGTTCAATAGTGACTTTACTTAAGATCTACTCAATTGGGCTGCTGGTACACAGCAGACTCACTTGTTCAAATAGTCATTATTACTTAATAGTCATTATTACTTAAAATCTCTGATATAGAAGAAAGTGCAAAGTGAAATTTTAATAGCACACTTTACTTACGTTCACAAGTGTCCCCTTTTTGCTGGTAGCCTGCTTTGCAGATACATTTTCCAATGGGCACTAACCATTCTCCTTCTGCACTGCAGTGCATCCTGGGGGAGTTTTCCGCCTCTTCCTCTGCACTGCTGACACATGTCCCTCGGACCTCGACTAAAGAGGAAAATTCTGAACCAGTCACTGTATCTGGAAAGACAGCTAAGTTCTCAATAATGGACCAGCACTTCTTGTAGTACACTTTGACCGAAACCAAAGCTATGCAAGCCCCTACATCCTGAAAGGCAAGATAGAATCCCTTTTTGGACAAAGGTCCAATCTCTCTCACCTCAGTGTTAAGCTTCATCTTTCTTTCACCAAGGTCACCTTGGGTAAAACTTTCATCTGCAGCAATGGTGTCTATTTTTACATAGAGGTTTTCTCTTATATTCCTGCCAGTGTCGTAGTCTGTTTCATAATAGTACAAATTAAAGGTTTCCTTGCAAGTTCCCAGGACTCCAGGAAGACTGTTACAATCCCTCAGGGTGAATTTCAATTCTACAAAAATCCTTTGTGCATTGCCTTTCGAAATCCAGTTAGTCCGCAGCCAGTTGTTTTGGTTGGGCTCCATGACCTGGCACACCTGGTATGTTCGGATCGGAGTATAGTTCTCATCCAAACCACTAATTTCTTCCCACTGTAAAATTTAGAAAAGGTCATCAGTCATTCAGCAAAAAAATAACATTTGGCTTTTGCAAGTGCATGAGGAATCTTTAGTGTAGCACAAATGCATATCTTTCAAAGAGCTAGGTGAATTCCTACCCTGACGAACACTGCAACCTTTAGAACAGAGTCTCAGTTCAGCTTCATCCCGGTGTCAGAACATCATTTTTGTTGCTTGTATTGTTTATGCATACAATAAATCTTTCATTTTGCTTAGTATCTGTTTGCAAGTGTATTAATGTTGCTTTTTAAATGTTTGCTTATGCCAATGTCTCCACTGAGCTTGGGATTTTTATAGACTAAAGCACATAACAAAATTACTTAAATTACCATTTAATGCATATACATACAGATACATGGCAGAATTCTTGATAACTCCGTTGACATTTTAAGTGTTGATGTTAAACTTAGAGAGTACCTAAAAACACAGGGAAGAAAATGCCAAGAGTACTCTGAAATGTAAAAGCATTCCACAACATGTTGATATTCATAATGAGAAATCTTTTACGATCTTTGCAAAATGAGATATAAGGGAGGAACATTTTACAGAGCTATTTATTTATTGCAGTGTTATATACAATACTATCCATAATGCCATATAACTATAAATAAGTAGTTATAAAAGTGTGATACATCTTTATAAATAAGTTGCTTTCAACAGACAATCAAATGTACATGGCAAATCAGCATGCTGGATCATATTTCAGTAATAAGCTTTCTGACAGGAAAAATATCAGATGGTTAAAAATGTCCATTCATATGCTGATATAATGTACACTACAGCAAACTCATATATTTTCACAAAAAAGGAAAACAATAAGCTTAGCCAAATTTGCAACAATTTAAAGATTAAGTCTTGTATAATCTATCTATATTGCTCATTAGTTAATAACTTCATTTCACCTAAAAGCCTAAGAGAACAGTTGTTTATGTCCTTTCTTACCATTATTACAAAATTTCCAAGTTTGTATTTATGATACCTTAATAGTGAAATTGTCACCTACTTATATTCATTTCCCAAACAGGAAATGCCAAATATAAAATTATATTAGTATTCTAATCCAAAGTCACATAGCATGAAATATTTAAACTATCGTTTCAAAAAAAGCAGATGGGAAAATAAACTAATAAGCATGTGGTAATGAGTTTTATTTGTAAAACTCAATCAGAAAAATCAATTTACTTAAATGCTCTGTGAAATATTAATTTCTAACTTTAAATGCAGTTCTTAGAAAACTAACAAGACAGACAAATTAGTAGTATACTGTAATTCAGAAATTTCTTATGATGACATATTATATATTTGCTACAATTTTATTATACATATCATCAAAGGTCCTCAAATGCAGCAAACAACCAATTATCATGTTCAGCTTTTACTCAACACAACTGGAGTTTGTGACTAGTTGATGGAGTACATAGTTTCCTGTTTCAGTTAGCTGCTTATAATTTGCTTGAATGGCCCTTAGCCAAATATAACCAAATTCATCCATTTGGACAAGCAGATTTTAGTCTCTTAATTAGGTTGAAATTATTAAAATAAGTAAAACTAGTAGTAGCATCTACCAAAAAATGAAAAGCTCCATGGATAAATGAGCTCTTTTGAACAATTCCCTAGTTACAAGAAACGAAGGCTAATTATGAGAAAGGAATATATCTCAAGAATTCCTTTTTCTAGTTCCAAGAACAATTATATTATTTTGTTCAATGTATGAAAAATCAACTTTACTACCAATGAAACTCAGTTAATTTTAATGTTTAATTAAAAATTTACTCCTGTGGGGAAAATTTCAAGATAACTGTTGCATAAATAACAAAGAGTGAAATGAAATAAATGCATTTAATGTAACTTTTGTTTTATTATCTCACTTTCTAAGAGACTGCAGTGATTTCTACAAACAACACCATTGGGAAAGAAGTCTTAATTTGGCTAGCATGCTTTTATAGTATGCTTATAAAGTTATTTCTAGACACTTATATCTTAATAACATTTTATTTCCAGTTAGATATTTAACCACATGTAAGCCAATCCATTTCATATATGGAATATATTGTCAGTCGTCATTTTCTAATATTATCTGTTGATTCCTAAAGATATGTAGGGTTAACGGTTAACTCAAGATACTTTGGACTGATAAAATGTCCATTTCAGTCCAAGATAACATAGACAGTCATAATTTATCATTTTATGGATTACATGGATGAAATATTACAATAATATATCAGTTTACTTCCCCTTAGAGATTAAAAACCATGCTGTATCTCTATTTGTTTTAATTGATGGATGGTGCAAAATGGGCCACATCTGTCACTGGCAAGAAAGGTGCTTCATTTTTTATTGCGAATGTCTTCCTATAGTGTATATTATTTTACTCATGGAAACTACTCCACTTTCAAGAAAAGTATGACATTCATACTTCAAACTTAGCATACTTTTTATATTTAATCTGTAAATATTTGTCATTTTTTATAGCTTTGTCTGACCAATACAGATAGCTGCAATATGATCTTAAGCGTTTCTCAAATATTAATTTAATAAAAAACCTAAATACTTTAAACAGATTTGCATTGTTCACATTTTGCATTCTTTAACTTCTAGCTTATGACATATTGATTTTATGATGTTCTTATACTCAAAAATCCCTTTCAGACTTTCATTCTTGTCTTTGCAAAGTTTCTTACACTTTTTATATCCTCACTTATACTTCATGCTCTTTGACTCCAGACTTTTTATTGTACCAAAGATTAACTTAAGTAACAATGGGGTACATTTACCTTTCTTGGAGCCCCCTTCCTTAGTCAAGGATGAAGTATGTGTCCTGTCTCACAATTAAAATAAGACCTGAAGACATAGACACTGAACTAAACTTAAGTAAGTAATATATCTTATATATATTAGTAATATAAGTAATATATTTTATATATATTAGTAATATATGTTAAGTAATATAAGTAATATATCTTATATATATTAGTAATATATCTTAAGTAAGTAATATATCAGATATATGAAACATAACGGTCAGAATTTTTTTAGAATCTACTTATATTTTCATAGAATTTTATTGGACAGCTTTCACTCATTTATGATAACAGATTTTTACTCTGATATGTGCGTACTGTGCCATCACTTCTGATTAATAACAACAGATAGCACAACATATAAATTTCAGAAAATCCAAATCATATTTTAGAGCAAATTTTATGTTAAAATATTGAGCATATTACATTTTTAGTTATCTTTTCAAGTATATTTTGAATGATGCTAAAACGTTTTTCAAAAGAGGAAAACAGTTTTAAAGAACTACTGTTTTAAAGAACTACATACAACCTACTTGGTGATGATACTAAGGAAGTATAAAGCAAAGAGGTTTAAGTGAGTTCGTGAAAAGCATGTTCTCTGTAATTAGTTAACAGTTATAGCCTGGAACCTGAGGTATGGTCCCACTCACAATAAGAACTTATTTTTTATCCATTTTCCAATGTTCTAAATATACCTTGTCTACTCAAAGAACTCAATGCCTCATTATAAGCACAACAAAATATTGAACAAGATATTGGAGATCAAAACAGTTTAAATATGAAGAATGTGAATAATTCCACTGGGGGAGGAGGAAAAGGTTTTATTTCTTACTTAAAAAAAATAAAGGTTGATATTTTATGAGGAGAAGCCCTTACCCCATTGGGTGGAGAGGAAATCCATTCCAGCTCTGTTTGTTGTGCTTTAGAATCCAGCAGTAGTACTGAAAAAGAAAGTTGCATTTCTAAATGTCAGATGAAAAATGAAAACATGTTTGTAAAAGTTATTAAAGTCGATCTAATTTTTAAAATAATTACCATTTTATGATTTAAAATAAAGAGTTATTTACATTAATGAATGACAAAATGTATACCTACCTCTTACAAATATATTCCACTTTCTTAGGGGAAAAAAGATATTAAAACACTAGCATTATAGTTTTTAATTAAAATATTAAAATTAACTAAAAAACTCAAAAGTAGCATGAAAGCAAGGGTAAAAAATTGATATGTGAAGTATACTGATTCTATAGTAATAATGTATTGTAAAGAATTTTGTAAACCACTGACTGCTCTAAACTTTGTCAAATATAATAACATTAACATAATAAAGCATACTTCCCTATTACTCCTCAGCCAGTCATTAATTTGTACTATTCTTCCAAAAGTACTTCCTAGTGCCTTTTGAGAATTGGAGCTTTTTTTTTTTAAACTTTCCACACACAGTGTCTTCTCTTAAGCCAAAATGAATACAATTAAAAACTATATTAAGCAATGTTATCATGAGAAAAATAAATTTCCTATCATTTACAAGATATATTATTGGGTTAGTCAAACATTTGTTTTCAATATTTCTATTTTTTTAATTTCTTAATATTTCAAAGCAGTATGTAATTCTCAAAATGGAATATTTAAACTTTGACTTGACTTGTAAAAAACAGTTGTATTCTGCTTTTATGCTACCATAAAGCATAATACACTTAATATTTATATAAATGTAATTAATGCTCCTGATGGTATTAATATAAGATAATGCATGCAAATATCATACATTAATATATACCATACTTCCAATTTAACATATTTTATTGCTTTTTAGGACGATTCCCCTCCTAAAGCATTCACTCTTTGCTCAAACCGGTTGCAGAGTTACATGAATTTGTATTCTTTAAAAATATTTCTATGATTCTATAGCATTTTAGCAAATGTATCAATTTGTCCAGAAATAATGGTGAATACATTTTCAAGTATGTAAATATGCTTACCATCATCCTCAGCAAAATGTTAAAATTTGAACTTAAATTAAATACATGCTTAAATAAACTTTTCAGTGACCAACAGAGGGAAAAAATGTGTTTTTAAAGGTAACGAAAATTTGTTACGCTAAGAAAAGAAACAGTTGATTATGTGTTCAACTCCTTCAAGCTAGTCAAGGTTATTCCCTATAACTGAAAATGGAGATAGAAACACATTTTTCCCAAAATGTTTTATACTTAAGACTCTCAGGGAGACCATGACAGCACAAACCTTGGTTACAAACACTTGACTCCCTTTCAAATAATAATTTCAAAGCCACACTTTTAAAATACCAAGTTGTACTTCGAACCAGGAACAGTCATAAATGTTTAGATTACTGAACTTACATTAAGTAACTTTTAAAGTTTATTTTGTTTTTGTCCTCAACGTGGACAAACAACATGGATTCCAGGTACTTTCCTTTTGAGATTACTTATTATTATTATTTTTTTTTCGGTCTTCCGCAGTGACAAGAGACAAGTGAATTTTAAACCCTGGAAACTTTCTTGGGTCGTTTTTGAGGGTGAATTAAAACACTGTGATGATTGTTTACTCCTTTTCCGTTACCCCTCAGCTCAGCCTGGGGTGGGAACCAGGGACCCCGGCGGTGCGGTGATGATGGCAAACAAGTTAAGAGAGAACAAATGAACAAATAAAACAAAAGGGAAACCGGCCCCTGAGCGTTTAACCAGCTCGAACGATTCACCGTGTCTCCCTTCCGCCGTCCGCTCTCTGTGCCAGCCCGCAAGTGCGCGCTTTTGCCTTCCCGCTCAGAGCACCGAGCGCCAGCGGCCCTTCGCGCCCGCAGAGGCGTAGCCTGACGGCCAACCAGGACCCAGGGCACGCGGGCCGGAGTTCGGGGACTCTGCGCTCTGCCTCGCGGGCCGGGGTGGGGGATGCAGGGGGTGGGGGCGAGGGTGAGGAGCAAGATGCGGGTCGCCCCCGGCGGAGCCAGCCCGGAGCCGGGCTGGCAGCGGCTGGAGCCGGGGCGGGGCCGCCGGTGGGGCGGGGCGGGGCGGGGAGGGGGATGCCAGACTGGCGCGCCCGCAGGCCGAAACATCCATTACGCCTCCGCCAGACTTGGGCACTCCAGGGAGCCGGTGGCGCCCTAGCTCCAGAAGGAACCGGGAGGAGGAGAGGGGCTATCGGGAAGCGTCTCCTCAGAGGGAGCGCGGCGACGGTATTAACGAAAGGAAAAACGGCGGCTGCACTTCGCCTCCAAACGTCAGACTGACTTACACGCGCGCTCCCAGTAGCCGAACTGACCTCCCCGATAGAACGTGTGCGGGAAAAGGGGAGAAAGGGGGGGTGCCCCTTCTTCCTGTAACTACCCCCCATCCGCTCCGGAGAGCCAGGCACCTGTTCCAGGCGCTTCCCGGCGCTTGCCCCTGGGTGCCGCGGCGCCGTCTCGGGGCTTGCTCGTTCCCAGAACGGCAGCCCTGGGCCACCGTGGCGCGCCGGGTGCGTTGCCGCCGAGAAGCGGAGCGCATTCCTCACCCCCGCCCACCTTTTAAACAGCTCACTTCTGCGTGTAAAGAATTCGGCCTCCTAGAATCAGAATCCTCTCCACGTATTTCGCACCCAGAAGAGGAACGCGGGCGAGCAAGCCATTCTGACTGCAGGAACCTCTCCCCCTAGTGATGCAGTTATTTATAGCTCAAACTCCAGCCCGGGTCTGTGCGAGCTCGCGCGCGGGGTTTCGCCCCGGCGGTGCAAACTTTTCCTCGGGTCCCGCTCTTCCAGGGGCATCAATACAAGTTTCCAGGATTCAATGTCCCTAATCGCTAATGTCACGCGAGTAGAAGTGTGGGCTTTGGTGTGTATGGCTGTGTGTTTGTAGCAGATGTGGGTTCATCTGCAAACGCGAAACCAACAGCTGGAAGTTAAGGTTTTCTCTGAATGGGTTCAGCATCAACACAGGTTGCAGATGCGGAAACTGGGGTCAGAAGGTCAGGCTGGATCAAGGAGCAGACTATGGCGTTTGGCTGTGGGAGAGGGTGTTTTGAGTGACCGAAGAAGGGTCCACGAAGAGAATTTTAAAAAGCAGCACTAAATAACTAAGTTTTCAGGGATAGATGGAGCGAGTACCGGTACGTATCCACTCCCGACCACCATGACCTAAATCTGATAACAGATTTCTCCATCCTCCACACTTTAGGAACAAGTAATTATTAGTAGTCTGCTTTTAAATATCAGGAAATCAACCTTAGACTTACAGCCTGCAAGATACGGAGGAGGGCGGGTAGATGGTGACACTGCTCAGAAGCAAGACCTTTCCATTGACAGGATTTATTTTTCCCCAGCTCCAACTACAGGCACCGAAAGGTATTTTACTTTCTGTTAATGGTTCAAAGGAGAAGGGGGTGGGGGGAATAGCCATATACAGGCGTATCTGGCTGCCCAAATGAATCCTGGCTCTAGTCAACCAGAGCTAGCCCTCGGGGTCCAGGTCTTTTTCAAGGTTAGACCACTAGCACTCCTTAACTGCCGGACTGTGGGGCAGAGGTTTGGGGGCCTCTGGTCGCCCGGGAGGCATCGTAATCAGTTGCATTGACCCAGCCCGTCCCCTGCCTCCCCGGCCCGGCCGAGCCCTCTGGGCTGCCGCTGTCCCTGCGGCCGCCGGGACCCGCGCGGCGCGCGCTGAATGGAGATGTCTCCCGACCGCGGGGCGCGGAGCGCGCGCCGCCCGCTGCTTCACCTCCGCGGCGTTATTGTTCCGTGCAGGCGGCCAAGCGCCAGCCGCAGGCCCGCGCCGGCTCCTCGGACGCAGTGAGCACTTCATTAGTAACCCGAGCGTTCGGAGCTCACCCAAGTCACGGCGCCTCTAGAAAGGCTCCGGACTCCAGCCGCTCGCCGGCGGGCTGGTCAGGATACTAGAGACTGCACTCCCCAGTCTCCGACCAACTCCGGCCGCAGCTTACCCCCAGGGAGACGAACGGCGAGAGGAGGAAGAGGAGAGGGCTAGAGGAAGAGATCTGACCCGCCCGGGGTCCCGGAGAATGAGCTTGCCGGCCGTTCCCACACCTCCGCCCCCTGCCCTCCGTTGCTGCTCACGCCCTCTGTACAGTCTGCGCCAGAAATCCCGCTCCCGTCGGGCGAACGGCCCCGGGAGCGGGGCTGCAAGCTTCTCGGAGCAGCCCGCTTGCCACCCGCCCGCCAGGAGCGGCCCGAACGTTGAGGGGGCGGGGAGCCGGCGGGGGAGGTTCGCCCGGCTCCGGAGGCGCGGCCGGCAACCCCGCGGACCAGCCGGCTCTTGCAGGTAGACAGCTAAATAAATGTCAGAACAAACTTTGCTTTCCCATCACCTTACCTTCCTTTGCAGCCTGCGCTTCCACGGTGTGTGCAAAGCGGAGCAGCCAGATGTAGCATAAAATAATCCATGAAGGGTGCCGAGTTTGAAAAACCATGGTGCATGAGCAGGTTTTATCTTAGGTTTCAGTTGAGTCGCAGCTTTTTAAATGCTGTTTGCTCCGGAGTATGTGGGGCTTTTTTAAAAAACAAAAATTATTGCGCTCCACGCATCGATTCCCTTTCTCGATCTACGGCCGGCTGCTCCACATTTAGCTTTTTAAAAAAATTTTTCCCTCCTTTGGTCCGCACAGTGTTTGCTGCCTGCAAGTCTCCGACTGCAGACCGGCCGCTTGCTCCACACTCCAATAATATCAATTAGGGGGGAGGGGGGCGGGGCTCCGAGCCGAGAGCCTCTGCCACTCGAGCTGAGTGGCAGGCGCAGCCGGCCTCCCAGGCGGCGATTCCCAGGGCTTGGGGGCGGGTCCCGGCGAAACGGCCGCCCCGGCCTTGGGGGCGGGGTTCGGGGCGTGGGCCAATCGGCGGCCAGCGGAGTCAGGTTGCGGGTCCAGGATTCCCTCCAGGTTTTGAGCTCCGGGCTGGCGCTGGATGCTCCGAGAAGGAGGACGTGGAGGGCAAGCGAGGTGCGTGCTGCTGTGGGAGCTTTGCTTTTAGCAACCGCAGCTTTCGTGGAGCAAAATCAATCCTAAAATAACGCTCCCAATTTACAGTCGTGTTTATAGCGGTGCTCCTCGCGATCTTTAGAAACCAGAGGGGATGCAAGCCATCTCTCAGCTACCAAGCACGGAGCCGGGACAGTGAAATGAGCTGTGCCTTTAAGTAAAGTGCCTTTTACTTTTTTGTTGTTGTCACAACCTCCGCGGGTTGGGTAACTTTGTTCTTTTTCTTTCTTGAAGGGTTACTACTTCTCTTTTTCTGTAACTCCAAAGGCAGTTAGCTCTAGGTACCACCCAACACAATCCCTGGAAGAATAAAAGTAACCAAATGTATTATGTTCAAACAATGTTTCCAAGAGTTTGAAACAAGCTTTGGCAAAAGAACCAGAGGAAAAGGGAGTGGAGAAAGGAAGTCTTTTGTTTTATGTGCCCTCTCACTCCCGCCCTATCATTTAACGATAGTTGGTTGGACGAAGTAGCACATTAAGAGAAACTTCTGAAGGTTCCGTATGGTTTTTCCTACATGTTTATCATTTTCTGAGATTTTCCTGGAATTGCCACACTTTGATCGTTTTCCATTTCGCTGCATAAATTACATTTAATTTTAAAGAATGCTACCATGCATTAAGTTAATTAAAATTAAATAAAAATCAAGACCTCTTTCGCAAATATTGAGTACTTTTCAATAAGTATTCAATAATTATCTTTCAAAGGCAAACTAAGAATAAAAAATGTTACCAATATCGACAGTTGATTTCGTCTAACTAAATATTGAGGACGACTGCCTAGAGGAATCCCTTTATCGTTAGGCAGCTTCTGACACTTTGCAATTCAAGATGTGGGTAGTACAATAAGAGGAATAACTTAAAAACCTTAATTGCCAAATCATCAAATTCAAAGGTCAAGCAGAGTATCTTGATCACATGTCAAAGACGAGCTTTATTTTCTTCCTGTCCTATATTTCTTCCGGTAAAAAAAAAAAATCTGTCATTCACGATTTGCCTCTATTTATGAGAGGCAAAAAGTTTGACTTTGCCTAAGACTCCAAACTTTCCCTATCTTTTCTATTTGGAAAAGTAAATTGAGTTGTTTCTGGTATTTATAGCAAAGAGATGACAGATCCCCAAATTTTAAAATTTTTATCTTATGGAAAATTGTCTCTTGTAGTTTTTACTTGCCTAATGCAATTACGAAGAAGAGAGAAATGAGATTTCCTTCCCCTATAACCTCTCTTTGGGTCTGTAGTTTATTTCTTAAACGTTACTTGTTCCTAGCCATTACCCCTATTAAATACTTTAGAAATTATATCTAAAAGCATCTTAAGTGCCCTTTAGAGGATTCATAGAAAATGTAAACTGCTTAATAGATTAACCTTGAAAATAGACAAAAAGATGTAGAGTGCACTTGTTACAGAGATCAAACAGTATTGACACAAACAGATGCTTTAAGGAGTAAAAATTGTAAGGTGAAACATTAGAATTAAAAATATAGATCCCCACTCATAGGCAATAAAACTGTTAATCTCACATACTCACAGATATTAAACCACTTCTAATAGTTAAAATAATTCTCCAGGATTTCAACACTTTCCCCAGGGTCTCATCCCCACTTCTTAGAATGACACCAAGGTAGCCTTTAAAGTTTAAAACATTCCTTTCATCTATTGAATGACTAATACTCAGTGATGTGAATACAAATACCTTTCCATGAAACGAGGAGACTAAAGAAGTAACATCCTTCACTCTGATGAGTGTAGGTGGTATAAGGAGTCCCCTTACTGTGTCCCCTCTCTCTATCAGACATAGGGACATGTTCAGCTTCACTTTTATTTTTAGAGACAAGAGGCTTCACATTAAATGCACATGTGCCAGACTGCTGACAGTTTTTCCTGCAGAGTTGCACAGTGATACTCATTTTTAGGTTTACCAACCTTTTCTTCTTTCTTTTGGATCTAGGTATAGTGATGAAGAAGTCATGGAATTTAAATAAAAAGTGAATGACCTAGTCAAGAAAAGAATGTTTATTATACTGTATTATATAGTATAATATATAAATATAATATATAAATTGGCATTAGACTGTATTTGACTAACAGCAAAGCATGTAAACCTCTTTGTACATGAAGCCACTGAAATGAAAAATAATCAGTTCACAAAACTTCCATATTTTAAAATAACTTTTAATAGGTAATTTCTTTATATCACTTTTAAAATGGTTTATTTTAGCTTCTTATCTATGATTTGTGCATATTATCTCTAAGGCAAATTTTAGAAAAGTAAATGTATGTGTGTATATAAAATGAATTAGAAATCATTTTCCTGAACAATACCAAATGGTGTATATATAACCAACATGTGTAAGCCAAAGCAGAAATTTTAAAAACTGTTTTTTCAGTTTTATGTATTCATTGTGAAATGCAGTTGATATAATACCCAACTTATATTTAGGTAGTTTTAAATAAATGGAAAAAAGAGACCAAAACTTTAATATTACCATTTATAGACCCTCTTTTGAAACATCTGTCATAATTGTATAGCAGAAAGATGAAAAATGCCTATTTTCAGATGCAAAGAAGACATGCCCAATATTTATGAACCATGTTATTTTTATCTATCTAATTACTAATAATCACACATAACTGTACATATATGAAAATAAATGTACAAATTCAAGACACACATTCCAAATGAGGGTATAGCTGTTATCTTCATTTAACTTGCTTCAACACTAATATTTACCTCACTGTTTATCTCTGGAAGATATTTTCTGATTTTAAGAGAGAAATAGTCACTTAGGAGTAAATTCTAATGACTTCAGGGAATTACCTCCATACATTTTCAAATAAAAGCCTTTGTGTGTGTGTGTGTTAAACAGGCCTTTAGAGGGTAAAGGAAGAACCTGAGACTTCAATATGTTACAAATCCAAGGCTGCCAAACTAAGTAGTTAACAACGACAACAAACTCAAAGGGCTGTCTCTGAACCTACTACTTTTGAACTTACTATCTAAATACATTCACAAGTGGTAAATGTGAAAATTCAAGTTCATCGCAGAAAAGGGGGTAATTTAAACTGAATTAGAAAAGGTACCATACAGAAGAAACTGATTATAAACAGAAAAGAAACATTATGTCTCAGTTAATAGATATTACAGAAAATTAGGTTTTCTATTTGTGATGTCAGTCAAAATGTAAATAGTCTTTCCGCTGTGCAGGAAAATCACTTACATATTTACATTAGCGTGATTTATGTAGTGTATATAAAATATGTACTTGCAGTCCAATGTAAAATGTACATAAACTAAGCTCATAAAAAACATAGTAATAATTTTACTTATTCTTCGAAATTTCAGATTTATCTAGCAGTATAGGAAGTCAGAGTTCAGAAATCAAATCATAAGTCAAGACTATATTTTGTGCCTCTGTAAGAGTTCATTCACTTTTGTATGGTCAGATAAATTGGTGAGGCTTAGAAAATTAAAATTATAATCCTTTAACTGCAATTGCTGAGTTAATTCAAAAGAGCTTAACAAATAAAAATACAATTTATATCAAGATTATGTGTCCAATTGAATATTGCTAAGGTGTCACTCTGAAATTTTCTGATCGCTTAAAATATTCAAAGATGTTAAATCAAATAACTTTTATTATTTGACTATTATTAAGAGAACTACTAAACATAGCAGAGAAATGTGACACATTGTACTCAAAATCACTTAACACATGTCCAATTGTGCTTAAGAATTTTTTTTTTTTTTTCAAATTTGATTTTGCCCGGGGAGGCTCTTCTTTTCCACTACTTATACTTCATTTTTCTATAAATCACCAGCACTGATAGGAAGAACTAGTTTAAATCATGCAAATTACTTCTACATGCTTTCACGGTTTCCCATCTTGCAATTTTTTAGCTCTTCAAACCCAGTGGATTTTCAGGTGTCAAGGAGAGCTGTGATAATTCAGTGACCACCAGGGGGCATCAGGACCTCTGGGTGTCCAAGCCAACGAAGTCCACACTGAATAAAAATGAGGTAATTATGAAATTATCTACATATATAATTATATGTATATATATATATTTGTATATAACTTTATATATAATAATTGGTACCTATTTGTTCCTTTGACACTTTTAAGTTTCTTATACTCTGTACCTATGCCAGCTTACTTAAAGGCCTTTGTAAAAATCTGTGAGATGTTCTATAACCTATTTCAATCTATTCAGGCCATATTTAACTGAAGAGGCTCTGAAGGCACCTTAGAAGGTGAATTATATTGCAGAAAAGCTCTCTTCAATTCTTTTAAACCAAACATCTGAGCAACTCTCCGTCTCCAGATAGACCTCAGATATTCTCTTCCTTCCTTTCCACCCACTTTACTCCCAAAGTCTTTTACCCTGGAAACAGGGCCAGGCTGGGATTGAGTATTCCCTTGAACTTGACAGTTCTGAGTTTTTAAGGATCCTGTGATGTTCCGAGGACTCTCTAGCTTGAGGAACATTTTATAGACCTCTTCTCCCCCGGTCTTCTGCCATGGTTAATACTAAAAATGAAATTCTGTCAAAATTTGCCTGGCTATTCTCAAGGAGGTCTAAGAAAAGTCTCAACAATAGTAATTTTATGCATCAAAGTAATTTAGAAATAGTGTTTCTATGTTATGGGGAAAAGAA